GCTAATTTAAGATACATAAAAGTTACTACTAACAGACCCAGTTGAAAAAATGCCAAGCAAAGGATGACCTTTAGCAAGTAGGAAATTGAACCCCCAAGGAAATAGATTTAAAAAGTAACAGTGAATAATGAAATTAGAAAAATATTTGAAAAATCCAAATTATTAATGGTATTGACTATTAAAAATTCTAAAAATGCCACTCTGTAATAGATTTAAAAAACAAAGTAAAAGCCAAAGTAATTAATTTCCATAAAAATGAAAGATATGTAGAGGATCTTAACATAGTCTAAGTTTCTTTTATTGCTTAAAAGGAATAAGAAGATACATATGATATTCAGCATGTTAAAATTTGAGCTTCATCAATAACAGAAAGAATTTGGATTACATGCCTTCCAAATAAGTAGAAAGAAAAAAATAGAAAGCTTACCTACAAATAAAAAAGAAAAAGATAATCAAGAAAAAGCATGGAAATGTTTGAAATTAGAATAAAAAATCAGAACAAATATATAAGCAATCAAAAGAAATGTAAAGAAATCTGGGACTACCAGATTGAAATATGCAGCTCCATGCTGCTTCTAAGAGACAAGTTAAATGCTCAGCCCTATTTTTCTTATTTGAGTTCAAAATGGATCATAAAGCAGTGGAGACAACTCACAACATCAACAACACATTTAGCCCAGGACCTGCTTACGAACATACATACAGTGCAGTGATGGTTCAAGAAGTTTTGCAAAGGAGACGAGAACCTTGAAGATGAGGAGCACAGTGGCCGGCCATTGGAAGTTGACAAAGACCTACTGACAGCAATCATGGAAGCTATCCTCTTACAAACTACAAGAGAAATTGCTGAAGAACTCAAGGTCGACCATTCTATAGTTGTTCAGCATTGAAGCAAATTGGAAAGGTGAAAAAGCTCGGTAAGCAGGTGCCTCATGAGCTGACCAAAAATCAAAAAAACTCTTCATTTTTTTAAGTGTTGTCTTCTTTTTTTGAACCCAACAACGATGAACCATTTCTCGATCAGATTGTGACATGGGAGGAAAAGTGGATTGTATTCAACAACCATAAGGACCAGCTCAGTGATCCGACTGAGACAAAGCACCAAAGCATTTCCCAAAGCCAAATTTGCACCATAAAAACGTCATGGTCACTGTTTGGTGGTCTGCTTGCTGGTCTGATCCACTACAGCTTTCTGAATCCTGACAAAATCATTACATCTGAGAAGTATGATTAGCAAATCGATTAGATGCACTGAAAATTGCAATGCCTGCAGCTGGCAATAGTCAACAGATAGGGTCCAATTCTTCTCTATGACGACACCATTGGTCACACAACCAATGCTTCAAAAGTGGAACAAATTGGGCTATGAAGTTTTGCCTCATCTGTGGTATTCACCTGACCTCTTGCCAACCGACTACCACTTTTTCAAGCATTTCGACACCTTTTTGCAGAGAAAACGTCTCCACAACCAACAGGATGCAGAAAATGCTTTCCAAGAGTTCATGGAATCCCGAAGCATGCATTTTTATGCTACAGGTATAAACAAATGTATTTCTCTTTGGCAGCAATGTGTTGATTGTAATGGTTTCCATTTTGATTAATAAAGATGTGTTTGAATCTAGTTATAATGATTTAAAATTCATGGTCTGGAACCACAGTTACTTTTGCACCAAACTAATAAATACAAATAATCCCCAAAACTCAAAGATATAACAAAGACATTATAGAAAATATGAATGTACAAATTGACCAGTCACATTATGTCCAAGGAGATATATATATATATATATATAAAAATCTAGAAATCATAGTAAAGAAACTGTAAAAAGATACCTTAGAAAAGATAATAGAATTCAAAGATGAAGACTTTTTTGGATTCTAGGCAAAATGGCCATGCCATCATTAAAAATAAAAGAAAAATATTTTAAAAATCTCGCTGGGCTCAGACATCTACACTGCAACTTTAAGTACTAAAGAACAACAGAATGAGGCTTACAAAATTGTTAGGAAACTGTCACTCAATAGTAAATGTTTTTAAATACAAGAATTTGAGAAACAATTCCTGTGTGGTCTTGCTAAAAATTTATTAGGGGATAATTACCTTGATTTGATTACTTCACATTGTATATCTGAATCAAAACCTCACATGTATCCTGTAAAGATATACAACTATTATGTACCCATAATAATTAAAAATAAAAACTTAAAAAAAATTATTAGGGGAGAAACCTAAGTCAAACCAAATATGGATGGAGAGAAGGATAGCAAAAAAGTAATGTTTCTGAGCAATGAATTTATATGATTAAAATTCAAACTGTAGAAATTATGATTGTAGGAGCAAGTTAGGCAACAGAAGTGGCAAAGGGGTGCAAAGTGGATTAAATACCAAATACAATGATGGCCTCTTCTATAATAAGTTTACTGAAAGAGTTGTTTAAAGCAGATAAGTCATATAATGCAGTTATAAATATATTTTAATGCATAGCCCTATTTACTAGCAGAAAATAATTAAAATTATGTAGTACAAAAGAAAAGATATTAAATATAAATTTACCAACTTTATCACTCTCAGATGGAAAGTCAACAGATTTTGTCTAAATATGAATATTGAGAATATTTTTAAGAAAATATCTATAAGAACTAAAAATAGACTTAAACATTCCAAATTATTAGATTTAAAGCATATATATAGGCCATGTACTGAAAGTCTCAAAATGAAAATCTATAGCTTAAAAGCAACAGAACTAAGATAAAACAAATGTAAGATATTGATAAGTATACATGAACATAACATATTCTTCAAAGAATATGAATCAATTCTCCCCAAATTGATCCATAGATTTAATTAAATTCCTAACAAAATTCCAGTCAAGTGGTTTGTAGACATATAAAAGCTTATTCTAAAATTTATATGGAAAGGCAAAAGCTCAAGAATAGCTAAAACAACCTTGAAAAAGAAGAATATAGTAGAAGGAACTCCCTGCCCAATATTAAGGTTTATTATACAGCTATAGTAGTTAAAATGGTTTTGTATTGGCAGTAAAATAGATACATAAAGGACAGAACAGAAAGCCCAGAAATACAGAGACCCATATAAATATGCTTAACTTGTTTTTGACAAAGTTGCAAAAGAAGTACAATAAAGGAAGGATAGCCTTTTCAAAAAATGGTGCTGGAACAATAAGACATCCATAATTATAAACAGATGGAAAAACATACCATGTTCATAGATCAGCAGAATCAACATTGTTAACTGAAACCATGAAAAGCAAAACTTTACATAAGGCGGGGGGCAGGGACTACTGTACAACCAATCATGCTTACAAAAGAGGATGTAAGTATACTATTTAAAATACTAATATAATTTAGTGAAACATCAAAAGAATAACAATGAGCCAGTTAGGCGTATTCCTAAAATGCACTGAAGGTTTAATATTAGTACTATATCTATTAATAAAATATACTTCTATGCATGTCAGTAAGTAAACAAGGAACAGCATCATATATAATTATTTCAATAGATGATGGAAAAGCATTTGCTAAATTCAACTTCCATTTCTGGTTTTAAAAACTCTAAGAGAGGCAGAAATAAAAAAATAGCATTACAATTTGATAAAGAATACCACTCTAAAACAAATTGTCAGCAATAACACACCAGACTCTCTAGTGACTAGAGATATTCCCATTAACAATAAGATGAAAACAAGAATTAATGGAAATACCTTACAAATAGAAAATGCAAGTTTTTCAAAAACTACATTTCTACCTGTTCACTTCCTTGAGGACTTTCTCCTACTCAAGGCTCAGACTAGGGTGAAGCAAGTAAGGCCCTAAAATGCAAAACTGAAAGAAACACTCACTCTTAGGGTTTTGAAAGTACAAGGTTGGCACTTGCAGGACCCTGACAGTAAGTGCCTTGTTCAATTTTGTACCTTGAAAGCTTCACTTGCCTCACCCTAGTCTCAGCCCTGCTCATTTTCCTTCTTTCTTGCATACTCTACTAGCTCCTTCCTCCTGGCAAGCTCAAGTCACCCATTTGTAGATAGCCAGCCAATCTCTAGAACTCTAGGCTTTTCAAGAAGAATTTAAACAGCAGTCCCTTAGGGCTCACATATTTCTGAATTTTCCAACTTCTCCCATTGACTACATCCTATCGAAGCCTTACCAAACCTTTTCTGCTCTTTCCAAAGAAATCAACGTAACAAATTCTCTGTACTTAATCCCCAAAGAGCAGATCTTTTTATATCTACAAAACATGTGAGAAAATTAATAGTTGGGAAATTAGTTTTCAGGTATAGTGTATATATTATTTTAGGGTCTCAGACAAAACTTTTAATAACTTATTGCCAATTGTTTTTTTCTTTAGTTCAAAGACTTTTAAGAGTATTATAGAATGGGGCATATCATAAGGCAAAAACTATTATTGAAATAATATGAAAACTAAACATACAGAGCTTTGGAAAAGCTGACTGAATTTATTACAATACTTTTTAGTTTGCATAAATCTACAGAAGATATCATCCTATAGAGTAAATCTAGGTCCTATCTTCCTATGTGTTTAAACAAATTAAAATGGATAGTAAAATAGCCTCTTGTAATATATTCATGATATTTTCTTCTTTTAGAGGCAAGATCTTGTTATTGAACATGTTCCTAGAAATGCTTCTGAACCTTATCATATTTAATGCCTCATCTGTAGAATCATTTCACAAATAAATACATCTCATTATGATATAATTATACTAAAACTAAACTATTTTGCATAGGACCAAGATGCTACACACATAAATAATCTAATTTACAGTGAAGATTACAAGATTTTTAAATATCACAATAATAAACATTTAAGGTAATAGAATCATATCTCTATATCTTATCAATAAATTTCTGCCTAAATATCACTGAGTTTTAGGAAGTATTTCTAAGTATAGCAATGGAAAATATCTATTGAGTAATCTTTCTAAAATTTTCTCTAATAAACTAATGAGTGTATTACTCACCTAATTGCATCATTGGTCTCTGAAACAGCTCTCAGGTATTCTTTGAAATAAAAATAATTAAAGAGGTATTTCCGAACCTTATAGCCTCGCCATCGTTTCTGAATCTACAGATGTAAATAAAAAGATAAAATATGCCATTGAATAAAAACATTTATAGCACTTCAAAATCAAGGTAATTATGTCTGATAACTCATATTAAATAAACTCTTAAACTTTTCCACTAATATAACTGTACATAGGTTACAAAGGTAGGTTGTAGTCAGATTATATTACAAAGATAAATATAATTATAGGCTATTGTTAATTTATTTTAAAATATTTACAAATATTTATTTCAAAAAATACTAAACTGTAAAATTAACTCTTGGAAGATTTAAAATCTGCTTTACAAATTCTTACCATCTCTGCTTCCTGGCCAAATGGATTTTTTCTTCATAACCAACTGGCTTGAAGATTGTAAGTAGTCTCATTGAAATAAATTTTTTAAATGGGCATTTTAAATTCAGTGGTATAAAAATCTTTAAACAAAATCTTGTCTTGTATCTTTATTATTACACTTTAATACTTCTTTAACAATAACAATAATGGGTAACAGTTATTGAGTTCTTGGGGGCCAGGCAATATTCTTGTATTTATGCATTTAATCTTTAGAACACTTGTATAAGATAAATACTCTTTACCTCATTGATAGATGAGAAAACAGCTAAAAAGAGGGCTTACATAATTTTCCCATAATTATACAGCCATGAGGATGGATCCAGGAATCAAATTAGGGCTTCAGTGAGCCCATTCTCTTAACCATTGCAATATAGAACTGGGAACAAAGTAAACTGCAATTTTCAATGAATGAAATTTTTATTGACATTATCTGCTTTTTTATATCAACAACTTCAATGCTGACCTTCAAAGGGTTTTATTTATCAGAAATATAATTTTTTTTTCTTTTATGAGAGGCATGTTACGAGTCTTTTTTTTCTTTCTGTTTTTTAGAGATGGAGTCTTGCTGTGTTGCCCAGGCTGCAGTGCAGAGGTGTGATCTTAGCTCACTGCAGCCTCAAACTCGTGGCCTCAAGGATCCCTCCCTGGCTAATTTTTTCTTTAGGAGACAGGGGTCTTGCTATGTTGTCCAGGCTGGTCTCAAACTCCTGGCCTGCAAGTGATCCTCCTGCCTCAGAATCCCAAGTAGTTGGGATTATAGGCAGGAGCCACCCTGCTCAGTTTAAGAGATGATACTTAAGTGAACTTCTAGATAAGCAGTCCCCAACAATCTTGGCACCAGGGACTAGTTTCATGGAAGAAAATATTTCCATGGATAGGTGGGGGGGGGGAGGGGGGATGGAGCGCAGGTGCTAATTCGAGTGAGTGATGAGGCAGCTGTAAATACAGATGAAGATTGGCTTGCTCACCGTCCACTCAGCTCCTGCTGTGCAACCCCTCTCCTGCCCCTAACTTTCATGGAAGACAGTTTTTCCATGGAAAGGTTGGGGGTGGGGTGGAAGTGGAGCTCTTCCACCTGGTCCCTAACAGGGGTTGGGGACCACAGTTCTAAATAATTTGTAAAGCCTCAGCAATCATGAGAATCTATATCTTTTAATCCTCTCTTTGCTAATATAATACTACCTTTGCTATCTTTTCTAATATCTCTATGAGAAAAACTCAAAACTAAAATAATAATGGGTAGTATTAATTTGTGGGAAAAAACAAATATCGAGAATATTAACTTAATCTTGCAAAAAGGTTTAACTTCATTCCATAAAATTTTCAAGCAGTTTACATATTTATATGAATGAGTCACATATCATAAATGATTCTCTTTTTGGATATGAAGTTCTTCCAATTTTAGCACAGTTTGCTATGCTAAGGGAACACACATCTTCTCTAAACCAATTTTTTTTAAAATAGCATTCTATATAGCATTAAATAGCATTCTATACAGAATATATATAGAACTCAGGAAAATCAGCAAGAAAATAATCAAACAACTCTATCAAAAAGTGAGCAATGAACTTTTCAAAAGAAGATAGACTAATGGCCAAGAAACATATGAAAAAATGCTCAGCACTTCTAATCATCAGAGAAATGCAAACCAAAACCACGATGTGATATCGCTTAACTCCAGTGAGAATGGCCTTTATCAAAAAGTCCCAAAACAATAAATGTTGGTGTGGATGCAGAAGTTAGGAACACTCCTATATTGCTGGTGGGACTGCAAACTAGTGTAACCTCTGTGGAAAGCAATATGGAGGTACCTTAAAGAGATACAAGAAGATCTACCATTTGATCCAGCAATCCCGCTACTGGGAATCTACCCAAAAGAACAAAAGACACTCTATAAAAAAGACATCTGCACTAGAATGTTATAGCAGCAGAATTCACAACTGCAAAGAAGTGGAAACAACCCAAGTGCCCATCAATACAATTAATCCAAGTGGATTAATAAAATGTGGTATACGTATACCATGGAGTACTATTCAGCTATAAGAAACAATGTTGATATAGCAACTCTTGTATTTTCCTGGGTAGAGCTGGAACCCATTCTACCGAGTGAAGTATCCCAAGAATGGAAAAACAAGCACCACTTTGTAGTCACTATCAAATTGGTATTAACTGATCAACACTTATGTGCACATACTTATGTGTAACATGCATCGGGTGTTGGGCAAGTAGGAGGGAGGAGAAGGGGATGGATATATTCACACTTAATGGGTGTGGTGCACACCATCTGGCTGGAAGATGGACACACTTGAAGCTCTGACTCGTGTGGGGTAAACATTGTAACCTAAACATTTGTACCCCTGTAATATGCTAAAATCAAAAAGAAAAAGAAATCCATTGACATGGGGTTCTTCCCTCTTCAAACCCAGCAACTACTGGAAACAGCACCAACCACACCCACGAGGCTATACTTGGTATGCTCTCAGGGAAGATTCTGGTACCCTAACACCCCAGACATCCATCCAATGGCAGGCTAAAATTCCTTTCTGAGACAAATCCTTTTACTCACAATTGAGTATTAAAGGACATAATAAGTAAGTGATGATTAAGGTTACAAATTAAAACTCATCCACACTAAAATATAATCAATCAATCTTTAATTGGCTTTGTTAGAGATATGTGGGTAAAGAGAGCTGGAAGAAAGTGAGCATTTTGAATGGGTGAAGTAGCTGCCATCAGTGAAATGAAGGATCTAAAATTTATTGTGCTCCATGAATGTGCCAGGTATTATGCTAACTGCTTTAATTCTTACAATATCCTTGTGAATGGGGCATGATCTCCATGTTAAAAATGAAAACCTGAGGTTAAGTAATTTGCTCAAGGTCACATAACCAGTAAAAGAGTAAATGGCAAAGTCAGGATACAAACCCAGGTCTGTCTGACCCTAAAGCCCACATTCTTTTCACTAAAACATTTTACATAGATAATGGATCGAGAGGGAGAGATTTAATTTAAAATATAGTATTTTCTTACATTATAGGGAGCCCAGTTTAACCAATAGCTAATTGATATAAAAGGACACAATGAATCTCAACAATATATAGTTGAGATTCTACTATACTTCCTATTATAAGAACAAATGAAATCTTGAATTCTGCCTAAATTTTCTGTTGCTATTCTAGTACTAGTAAATAAACTTAATTTTTTTTTTTACAAAATAAGTATTTTCAGGTGGCAAGATAAATTTTGATAACATTTCTTCTTAATTTCAAGGTGAATGGATTCCAACTTCCAAAAAAAAGAAAGAAAGAAAAATGACTTGTATTCATGTCCTTCAGAGTAATTAGCAACTTTCAAAAGTGATTGGTATAAAACAATTATTGTCATTGATCAGCTCTGAATAGATAATTTTAAACAAAGTCATTGTGTGCTCAGCAGATTACAGCTTGTTAACCAGCAAGTTCTAAATGACCTCTTAAGCTAGTCAAATCAATGATGCATATTCCTCATTAAGTAACATCAAAATGTAAGTGGTCTTATAAATAATGTTTATTTTAAGCACTGAAACAAATGGCAAAACCTTGATATATCAAAAGCCATCTGCTCATAGAAAAAATTTTCCCTCTATTGGGTTTACTTTTATTCCTGAAAATCCATAGTTACCTAATACCACTAAAAGAGAGAAAAAAAATATCTTCTCTCTTAAAATAAAAATGAAGGCATGGAAAACAAATTCATTGATGATAACCCACCCAGTTATAATGCTCTAAATGTATATGACAGCACAGAAGTAGAATTCAGTTGTTCAAAATTATACTTTTACTTATTCAAATGTTCAACATTCTAAAAGACTATACAGAGCACAGAAAAGTGGGTTTCTGTGGGGAGTTTAAAAAACAGTAAAATAACCCAAGTTTTCATTCCAAATATCACTGCATTGTCATGTCAAAACCATATATATTTATATATTGAAAATATATATGAGTATTATATATGAAAATATAGTTTTATCTATAGTATATACATGTAAAAATCTTAACTAGATATTTTTGGCAGAAGATTCTGGTTACTTATTCCATATAGTTTCTTCTCTTTAATATTCCATTTCCCCACTCGATCTGACTTTATACTTTCTTTCTCTATAAATCTATTTAATCATTTTATAACGATATTGGTACTAGAAGTAGCAGGAGGGGAGAAGAAATATTCTTTTGCATGGCATGGAACATTGATATACCTTTCCATCTGCAGGTTAAAGTTTGGGATTGTCTAGATGGTCCTTTCTCTCATTTTTCCCTAGGCTGATATCTTGGGATACATTTTTTGTGTGTATAAGATGGTCATTCATTCTATATTCCCCAAACTATGTCCAGTATATAAGAGACCTTCAGCATATTTTTCCTGAATTCATTTACCTATCTATCACTATTTATTTAATATTCGGGTCCTTATTCTAAACATAAATGCTTACTTCATGGTATTGTAAGTAGCTTAGGAAATTAAGATGAATCTTTATATATCTGACACATATTTAATGATTTTTAAATAAAGCCATTATATAATCTTTCCTCACATTTTTTATAATTTTGGACATAAATGGGACATAAAAGAAGATGGTTATTTGATATTTCAAGTTATATTAATTTTTTTAAATTAAAATTTTTCTTAC